GAATCTCAGAAAACTTATGAGTCAGCTTTTTCTCCCCTCCTTCACGCAGCACCTTTCATCATGACTCTTACTGCAGTATCCCCTTTTTTTCCTGTTCACAGTCCCACACTTCATATAATGTAATTGTACTTGTGTGATCTCTCAGATGATTTCATAATGACTGTATGTCTGTATGTGTGCGTGCATGAGAGAACACATAAATACTTCTACAGTTGGTGTGTGATCTTATATCATATGCAGACAATTGAGGTAAGAAGAACTGGTTTCAGATAACTCTCCATTACCCAACTCTTATGGTTGTGGGCATGATTTTGCACACAAAGGGCAAAAACCTATAGCCCAATAAGAGCCACAAAAGCCCTAAATACATTGCAGATTTGGTACGTGAAGTGAAACAGTGACGATACCATTGCAGATCTGTTACATGAAGTGAAATGGTGAAGAAAAAGACGTAGTAGGGACACTCTGAAGGGGTCTACAGCCCCATTATGCTTTAAACCTCAGCATAAGATAGAAATGGTTTTGGAAGGGAGACGAATGATCTCCTCAGCTGTTTTTGTTTGTTTGTTTGTTTGTTTTTTAGAGCTTGGAGATTCTTGAAGCAGCATTAACAGGGCTTTGTGACATCCTGGGGTATGTGCGCATGGGGGGAGTTTGTTACACCCAATCACTGCTAAACTTTGGGCTTACTGTCTTAACTTAATGTGTATTTTATTATACCTATATGAGAATTTGTGATTCCCCTCCTTCGGTTTGGCTTTACTGTCCCCTGAGCATTTTATTTTGGCTCCCAATTTTAAGTAGATAATATTTACATAAAGGGAAGAATTAATTCTACAGTATAACATTCAGGCAGAAAAGTTTATGAAACCATTGCAGTATTCTTTATACAGGTCTTTAGCTGTAAATCGTTTCTGTTAACAGTGCCTTACTATAGATGTTTATAACAAAACATTAAAGACTCGTTGGAAGGGAGGAAACAAATTACTCTGCAGAGAACCAAGCAACTCTGCTAAAATACTGTCAGTTATTTATCTACTGTCAGCAGAGGTTGCACACTATAATCCTTGACAGGCTCAGATTCAGGAAGAATGAAGAGAAAGGGCAGGGATTGCATTTAAGGGCCTGTTCTCATGCAAAGAGTTTTTAACACAGAGTTAAAGCTAGAATATATCCCCTAGAAAATATCATTTCCAAACAAGTAGAGTGCACATTTGGGTGACTTAGGGTGTGTCTACACTGAATCATTATTCTAGAATAACAGCCGTTATTCCGGAAAAACAATACTAGCCTCCACACAGCAACTGCATTATTTCAAAAGAAAATCGAATTAATAGAGGGCTTTTTCTGCCATTGGTAAAACCTCATTCCACGAGGAATAACACCTCTTCTGAAAAAGCTATTTCAGAAGAGGGTATGTGTGGACGCTCTACTGCTGCTATGTCGAAATAGCTTCTCCCTAGTGCCCCCTGGGGCTCTAAATTGGACTAATTTTGAGGCTTCCCTGTAGTGTGGATGCTCTATTTTGAAATAAGCTATTCCGGAAGTAGCTTTTTCCAAAATAAGCTTGCAGTGTACATGTACCCATAGTGTGAGATGTGTTAGAGGGTAACACTACATTTTAGGCTATTTATGATCCCAGTGTGGAACTAACACAATGAGGTCAGCGTCACTTCATTTTCAGAGTTTTGCCACAAGAGCATGATTTCACAAACATTTTTTTATGATTAGGCTGCAAGACTTTTTGTTAGGTGAAACGAAAGGGAAGAATACTAAATCCTTCTCTTTTCCAAATCTTACTTTTATATTTTTTTAAAACTAGAAACATGTAAATTATCAATGCAGACAACACTGGTTAGGTATTATTGTACAGGGCAATAGTTGCAAGCTAGTACTGTGTGTTGGAATACAGGCTTGCCAATATTACCAATATTCTGTACAAAAGCACACAAAAACACCCCCCCCCCCACACACACATGCACTACAAAATTTAGCTAACATTAGCACATTTCACTAATAGGTTCATGTTAGGCCTAAGGAGGGGATGTTTTACACAGCTGATGCCTTAATAAAGCACACAAATCTGTTTCAGGAAATGAAGGCTTATTTTTGGATATGCTGTATATTGAATGATTTGTTTATAGTATCTAGTTTTTACCTGTATGGTCTGGGCTGAAAATAAATGTCTTCCTGAGACTGAAAATGTTTGGATGGATGATGAATGCAAACTAGAATCTTAATTTTCTAATTTTTATTCACCAATTAAAAATAAACTGTATTTTTATGAGAAAATTTACACTAATCAGCTGATAAAGCATCCTAACACTAAAGGGTAGAAGTTCAGCTCCTAACATTTGCATATGCTCTCCTAACGAAAATACTGGCATTTTAGATTTTCATTGAAAAGCCTTGCTGCGCTAGAACTCTAATGGGCTTAGAACAGTAAATTTTGAAGAAACTGATTGCTACCCCTGTAGCTAGTAAATGTCTGCCTAGACCC